TTTTTTTTTACATATATATATATATATATATATATATATATATATATATATATGATTAGAAATACCCTCTCTGTTCTGAGTTGTCTGTTCATTCTCTTAACAGTAATTTCATACACAAAAGTTTTTAATTTTTGTTTTTGTTTATTGAGACAGAGTTTCTTTGTGTAGTCTTGGCTATACTGGAACTAACTCTGTAGAACAGGCTGGTCTTGAATTCACAGGGATCCACCTAGCTCTGCTTCCAGAATGCTGAGATTAAAGGTATACGTCACCATCACCCAGCCAAAAACTTTAACTTGGATGAAATCTAATTTCTCTTTCCTCTTGTTGTTATATTTGCCATAATAGTCTAGAAAAAAATCATTGCCAATGACAACATGATGCAGGGGTTTTGCTCTTTCTTTTTCTTTTCCATTCCTCCCTTCCTTCTTTCTTTCCTTCCTCTCTGCCTCTGTCTCTCTCTCTCTCTTTCACCTTGAGCTTTTGCCTCCACCTTCTGAGTACAGGAATTATTGGGATCATCTGCATAGGGCAGGACATTCTGCTTTTCTCTGTGGTGCTTGAGATCACACTTAGGACCCTCTATGTCTATGGCACCAGCAGAGCTGCGTCCTAGCCTCCACTATCTTTGCTTAGAAGACTCCTACAGTTTCAGTTCACAAATTCAGGTCTTTATATCAGATTTTCCTTGAGAATCCTGGTTCACCTGGTACTCATTAAGCAGCTCAAGTTGTCCTTGAACTCATAACAGCCCTCCTGCCTCAGCCTCCTGAGTGCTGGGATTACAAATATGGGCTAGCGTGACTGCTCCTTGCTCTGTTTTGGGTTCACTTTTGCATATAGTGTATAGGCTCATTTTCACTCTTTTGTGGAAAGATATTTTAAATCTGCTTTTTCTAGCACTATTTATGGAAAAGACTAATTAATTAATTCCTATCTATCTAATAGTCTTAGCCCCCTTGTCAAAAATCAGCTTAGCAGGAGCTGGAGAGGGAGCTCAGCAGTTGAAAGCACCAGCTGCTCCTCCAGAGGACCCAGGTTCGATTCCCAGCACCCACAGGGTGGCTCACACCCTCTGTACCTCCAGTTTCAGGGTATCAAGTACCCACTCTGTCCTCCACAGACAGGCAAAAACAGGTGCATAGACATACCATACGCCATACGCACAAATACCCACAAAATAAAACAAACAAGTCAGTTTACCGTGCCTAAGGACTTGTGAGCTCTGTTGGCTGTCACTGGGCTACGACTGCTCTTTCCATCTTGAGAAGTATACATGTGGTTTCTCCCGACTTGTTCTTCTGGGACACAAAGGGCTTTTCTATGTCACGGGGACCTGAACTTGAATGCTGTGGAAGGAGCAACACTTTCCGAGAGCCCAGTTTCCCGGCAGGCATTTAAAAGATCAGGGTTGAGCAAGCACTTCATTCTGTTTTGAACTCATTCTCTCACCATCTTGGGCACAATAACTTTTCTCCTTGAGTTGCTGAACTCAGAGAGAGCGAGCTTGTGCCGTGCTGTGTTGAAATCCATGGGATTCGGAACCAGAGTAACAGAGTGTTTAGGTTTTGGCTTGTAAGAAAAAAATGGCAATGAATTAATTGTTTATGGAGCACAATTTATGTGAAGCATTGTAACACACAATTCAAGGTGACTTTCCAGCTACTTAGAAAGGGATACGTGTCAAGGAATGAGTTAGCGATTACTTGGAGAGGGAATTCCGATTCGGAGGTGAAGGTGAAGAATGCTAGGTATTAAAGCAAAGGCCAGAATGAGTAAGCACTCTGAGAGGAGTGTAGCCAGTCTGACTCCATGAGAGGGTGTGGGGGTGCGCTAGTGTATGGGTGTGGTGTGACCAAACAGAGGACTCAGAAATAACCAGGCAAAAGAATGTGTGCCAACATTAGCAGATAGTAGCAAACCCTTAAAATGTCCTAAATGTTATTTATTTATTTGTTTGCTTGTTTGTTTGTTTAAGGGTGACTCTCCTGTAGGCCATCCCGCCTTAATGGTGTATAGCTGAGGCTGCCCTTGAACTCCTGATCCTCCTGGCTGTACCGCCCACGCGCAGAGATCACAAACACTCACCAGCAGTTTTGTTCAACGGAGAAGGGAGCACTCACTGTTCTGCAGAGTATGGTCCAGAGGGAACACAGGATTAACTATGAGACAGGAAACTGGGTCGGGGGGCTTCTCTGGAAAGGAAAGTTCTAGATCTTTATGACCGGTCTGAGTTCTGACTCTAGAGTCTACTGCTGTCAGGGAATGAGATGGACTTAAAATTCCCGTGATCCTACCCAAATGCAGAGTGGCCCACTAATCTTTCATGCTAATGGCATGACATTTCCATGCTTGGTTCTGGCTTGGGTTTGGCACGTCCCCAGCATGCCAAGCTTCTCAGCTACAGACAGGACTGTCATTTTAGTTCCTTTGCTGTCACAAAGGTCACGTTTCCTAAAGACCTTGGTAGATCAGCTGAAATTTGCCTCTGTTGGAGAAAGTGGAGGAACTCTGGGCACATCGCAGACAACCTGGGTCTCTTCCCAACTACGCCCTTCCCCTAAGCCTAGCAAGGTCTCAGTCCTTCCCACAGCCGCTGAGATTACCTGTGACTCATGCCAGCTGCTTCAACTGCTCTGTCCCAGACTGGGACGCCAGGCCTCACCACTTAATATTTTGGGGTCACAGGAAAGAGAGAAGCAGGAAGTCACTTGTGGGCTTGAATCAGAACCTGGGGCGCTGCACCGACCACAGTGAGCCTTCCAGGGTGCAGAGTGCAGAGCCCTGTGAGCCAGCAGGCCTGTTTCCACTGTGGTCATAGTCTGGCTGGCTTTCACCCTCCCTTCCCTGCCTGGGCACCCTTGACATTGGAATCTCCTTAGATGGCCACTGTGTTTGGTTTTCAACCAGGAAAACAAAGAAGGGAGATTTGTTCTCCTGTCGTCTTTGGCTGGACAGAATCTCTGACTCTATTTGCTGGTTGTGCTTGCTCTCGACATCTATGTCTGGACATAACTTTAATCTCTGAGAACACAGAAGTCTGTACTGAATCATTTTCTGTATCCTGAACCTAAGATCTGTCTTCATCCCCCTCTTGTCCCTTTAATCGATGATTAGTTCTGCAGCCTGCTAATATTCCACCCACAAATTGCTATTTCAGCCGACCTTTCCGAACACTTGAGCATCCGTGCCACATATCTTATGTTTCCTCGGGATCTGGTTATGCTCTCTTCTGTGTGCTTTTCTGGAATAACTATGAGGCAGTGAAAAATAACAAATCTTTAACTTTCAAGGCCGTGCCATGAACTCGGCCCCCAGAGGACCAGTGCACAAAACAGTGTACACTTACCTTCAGTCTCTCAAGAGTTTCAGATAAAATTTCTTGAAATCTTTGTTCTTTGTTCTTCATTCGGTTTCTTGTTTGTTGTCATTTTTATCTCCTTTTCTCACCAGTAGCTGAAATAGAATGAAGAACAAGAAAGGGTGCCGTGAAGAGAATGTTTAAAAAGCCAGAACACACACACGCAAGTACACACTCATACATACACACACACACGCACGCCACACACACGCATGCACACACACACCACACACAAATGCATACCACACGCACGCAAGCACACACACATACATACACACACATGCATACCACACACACGCGTGCACACATACACACACCACAAACACACACACACACACGAGTGCGCACACACACACACACACACACGAGCACATTTGCATTTCTCATTTCAGGTGAGTAACTTCCTAGATGCCTGTGCATGCCCAGAACATCCCCAGAAGGCTATTAGAGACTGCCCACCACCCAACAGAGGTGTAAGGGACAGACTTCTGCTTTGTTTTGTTTTTGTTTTGTTTTGTTTTGTTTTGTTTTGTTTTGTTTTGTTTTGTTTCTCTAAACCTTTGTCCAGAGAACATCCTGTACTGTCATTTCCAAATTGCTGGTTTAGAAATAGAACCAGAACCAGTAGGCCTGGGTCCAGAGGCTGAGACAAGGGTTGTTGCTGAGGCCACCTGCACAGCCCTTCTAGTCTGCAGCCATCTTTCCTTCGCTCCCAGGTCCCAAGGCCTTGACTCCTACCTCAGTCAGTAGGAAAGGAAATTTATTTTTGCTTTTTTGTTTCTCTTTGAGACAGGGACTCACTTGCAAACAGACTAGGATGGCCTGGAACTAACTATCCCCCTGCCCAGTCTCCTGAGCATTGGGATCTCAAGTGTGTTCTGTCATACCTGGATTTTTAAATGTTTCAGAGGCACCTTAGAACTTACTTGGCACGTATCTCAGAAGTTCCTTTTTCTCCTCCACAACCCATCCCTTTCTCCTTCCCTGTATACTTGGGTAAGTGGACCAGATTCCCAGTGCTGGGGCGTGGTGAGGCTGAGGGGCTCTCTGGGGAGCCTGAACCTACAGGCCACTGTAGCCCTGCAGGGATGGAGGAAGGGAGGGAAGGCAGTCACAGGAAGCCTTCATTCTTCAGCCCGTGTTTAGAAGCTGCTTTCTACTTTGGAGTAAGCAGTGGCCGTCTCTGCCTATAATTATAACCGAGGACTCCTTTTTCCTAAGCTCTGTCTCAGATGTTTACTGCTTTCTTTTAAAACAGATGGGGTGGGGAAGGAAGGGAAAAAGGAGGGAGGTAAGGAAGAAAGGGGGTAAGTAAAGGAAAGGGGAGAAGAAGAAATAAAAGAAAAGAGAAGAGAGAAAAGGGAAGAGCTAGGCAGCTAAGGGTGGACGTCCCAGAGCATCCTTCTGAGGAATTGGAAGTGGATTGAGAAAGTCCTTTCTGTCTTGGACCCAACCTGAAGTCATCAGTCTTGCGTAAAATTTGGAGTCCTGAAGATGGGACTTCAGGCTTGTGTCTCTGTCCATCAGACTCTTCTACCGTATATGGGACAACACAAAGCGACAAGAAATCAGGGGCATCACAAAGAGGGGACTAATTAGGGTGTCCTGCTTACTTCTGGTGTGAACTCAGCCAGACCCCGACCTTTAGTCTCAGCTTTCTCCCAAGTAGCATCAGGAGCAGGCGTAGCAGCAGCCCTATCCCATAGGCTGGCTTTGAGGATCAAGTGTGGGATGTGAGCATGCAGGATGGGGTAAGGACCGGTCCTCACTGGGTGGGAGAGAAGACAGCGATTCCTCATAGACATTCTTGGTTGATGTACAAAAAGAAGGAAAGGATGGCTCTGGATTCAGTCACAAAGCATTTGCCCTGGGTCTATCCCCAGCTACAAAAAAAATGTAAATTATTATAGTATGCACGAGCACATGCAAGCACATGATTATATGCTATGACACACATGTAGAGGTCAGAGGACAACTTTATAATATTGGTTCTTGTCTACTTTTTTTTTTTTGAGACAGGGTCTCTCTTTCTGTAGCCCTGGCTAGCCTGGAACTCGCCATATAGACTAGTGTGGTACTTGAACTCACAGAGATCCACCCAGTTCTTCCTCTTTAATGTTGGAATTAAAGGCTGTGCACACTGGGCTCTCTCTTTCTACTTTTGTATGCATTCCCAGGATTAAACTCAGGTTGTCAGTCTTGCACAAGAAGAGCTTTGCCCACTGGACCATCTTGTCAGCCCAATAAAAAATTTTGAGACGGCATCTCATGAGGCTGGCCTCAAACCCCTATGTAGTTGAGGCTATCCTTGAACTACTGATCTTCCTGCCTTGACTTCACAAATGCTAGAATTACAAGCATGCATCTCCCTGCCCAGCAAAAAAGTTGATTTTTTTCGAGGGGAAACCATCTACACCCCATTTTCCCCTTGAGTGTGTTTTGCTCTTGTTAGTTGCCTGTCCTAGGACGTAGGCCCTCGGGCATGTTGGAAATCTCCAGCCCCCATCACCTTTGTTAAAGTAAGCCGTGGAAGAGGCCTGGTTGAGGATTGGGGACATGTAGTCCCTTTTCCACTGAGAGCAGTGTCTCAGCCCAGCCTAGCAGTCTGAAGGGCTGTGGAGGGATCACACAGCCTCTGTGGAGGGATCACACAGCCTCTGACACACGGTCATAATCGTAAGACTCTCTAGCTCCCTGTCTGCTCTGACCAATGCTCTCACTGCAGGCCTCCTATTGGGAGGGCAGATGGGATGTGGTGACCCTGCTGGCAGAGACTGACAGCTCAAGGGTTCCTATCTCTAGGCCCACAATTGGTGCAAATAATTATGCCTCCCTCCATCCTTGTCCTCCTGGTCCTCTTCTTAGAGCCCAGGCTCTGGCACATGGGTGCCACCATGCATGTATATGTCCCATGCCTGTGATGCCTCTTTACCATCTCGAACTTGCAACTTATTCTAAGCTTCTGTAATCTGAATCCTCTTACCTAAGTCTGTTGACGCACACCGCAACATCACCTCCTCCTGAAGCCCTCCCTGACTGTATAGCCCATATTGCTGTGGTCCTAAGTCTCCTGGTCATCTATTGATTTAGAAATTAGAGTTGGAATTCATTATAATCTCAAAAAATGAACACTTGCTTTAGTGTAGGACACAAGGGGAGTGCTGGGAGATTTACAAGAGCAAAATCAGAGCTGGGCACTGTGCTGGACACCTGTGATCGCAGCAGGAGGATTGCTTCCAGTTCAAAGCCAGCCTGGGCTACATAACAAGCTCTGGTGGAACCTGAGATACAAATTAATATCCTATACCACTACCCCCGTGCCCTCCTAAGAAGAAAACCAAAGGCAGAATGACAAGAAGACAGGAAAATAGAAAGAGAGAGAGAGAAAGAGCGGGAGGAAAGAAGGCAGGCAGGCAAGCAGCTGCACGTGGCTGTTGAGGAGAAACAGTAACATGTAACGTTATAATCTTTGGGACAGATTGGTTTGCTGTATCTCCACTGAACCCAGAGATAAAATTCAGATTGTAACAGTTCTATAGTCATGAATATTATTCAGAAAAATGGAGACAGGGTCCAAAGATAATTATGAAGGTGGGGCTCCACCTTCAGTTGCTTCTGAGCTTGCTATTGGCAAGTTGTCTCCTTTTAAAACTTAAACAACCTTGTGTACATGTGCATTGTAAAATAATTAAGCTAAAAAACATATTCACAGAAGAGCAATGTTGGATTTGGAGTCTTTGTTTATAGGATTATTAAAATCAATATTTATATTTATAGATAAAATGTTTTTATAATACATAATGTGTTACATAACTGACAGATTCAACATGATAAAATGCTAGTAGAAAAACAAAAAGAGATGGGTGGTAGTGGCTCACGCCTTAATGCTAGCTAGCGCTCAGAGGCAGACAGATCTCTGTGAGTTTGAGACCAGCCTGGTCTACAGAGCCTGTTCCAGGACATCCAGAACTACACAGAAAACCTTGAATGCCTTGCCTAAAAGGCCCTGCAGCAGGGAAAGGGGGCTGTCTAAGGTTTCTCACTTAGAGGCAGAGAGAGAGAGAGAGAGAGAGAGAGCGCCTGGGTTTGTCAAGGCCTTGGGCTCAGTCTCCAGCACTGCTCCTGAGAGGATGAGGTATGATTCTTTATCTATGGGTCGTGACCCCCTTGGGGTTGAACAACCTTCTTACGGGGTCACTTTAGATCATAGGAAAACAGTCATTTACATTACAATTCATAACAGTAGTAAAATTACAGCTATGAAGTAGCAACAAAAATAATTTTATGGTTAGGGAGAACCACACTTGAGGAACTGTATTAAAGGGTTTGCCACATCTGGAGGGTTGAGAACCATTGAGCTAGACCAAGGTTACCCTGAAGGCAGCCTGTTAGATATCAGGAAGGTTTTATGCAAATATAGCTGCCTGGTGGACATTGTCCAGTTAGGAACAGGCCTTGGTGACTTTGGATTAACACCTACAGGAAGGAACAGTGAGCACCAAATGTTTTCTGGAGATGGATTTTGTGTCCTGTTTTAGGACAGACTCATCCATCCGTTGGTATTTCTCATGACATCTGCCAATGTAGAGTGGCCATACTGAGGAGCAGAAGGAGCACATGGAACAAGAAAATGTCAGACCCTCTTCTTGGGGACAGAGAGATGTTCCTGATTCGTGAAAATCTTCACTACTCACCTACCTTGCCATTCATCTCTTTCATGCTTATCGATTGTCCGTTGGCACAGGAAACTGGGTAACTGAGAAGGCTTTTCTGCCCTCCATCAGCAGTCTAATAAGGAAGACAGTTGTCGTGGAGATAGTTTTCAGCATTGGAGATGCAACCCAGGGCCTCGTGCATGCCAGGCAAGCATGTTGCCACTGTGCCATATTAGCCCTTAACGCCAGTTCTACATATACATATCTACTACATGAATCATGACGTCATGATTATCATGCCAACTGTTTATCAGTAACTTACCCATCCCTAGCCTCCATCTACTATTTTAGCAGATTTTATATCATTTAACCCTAACCAAGAGCTCAGAATATGATGGCTCTGTTGCATCACAATAGGTAGGTCCTGAGCAGTGAGTTTGTGACAGCGCTGTCTGTCCGTTAAGCATTAGTTTGTCTGATCTTAAAATCTTCTTACAGCCATACTGTCCTGGTCTCTGGGAGAGAATCCGTCATGAGGACCCCTGGGAACATAGATCAAGGCCCCTTTTGTTTATTTGGCTAGAGGTGGCTTTCTGGAAGTGCTTCCTGCAGCAGTCACCTCTGCTGTGGTCACTTCCTCCAGCCAGCACCCAATCCATGTTGCTTTCCACCTTTTTTCTCCATTCTCACCTTCACAGAATGATCTAATTAGTCTTTGTAAGATCCAGCCATTATGAACAGCATATAATCATGTACTTCCTCTGCTCTGAAGTCTGTAATAAAACCAGGCATGCTGCTACATGCCTGCAATTCCAGTACACAGAGAGGAGGATAGCAAGTTCAAGGCCAGCCTGGGCTACATAGAAACATCCTATCTCAGGCAAATACATACTCACTGTGGTCCCTTAAGAAATTCCTCTCCTCTCTCTCTTCCTCTCTCTCTGTCTCTTCCTCTCTCTCTCTCTCTCTCTCTGTTTTTTTGTGTGTATGCATGTGTATATATATTTGAATGTATGTGGATACATGCACCTATGCATGCATGTACATATGGAGGTCATAGATCAACATCGTATGTCTGATCAATACTGGATGTCCTCCTCAGTTTCCCTCCACCTTGGTTGGTTGGTTTGTTTTTGATAATTTATTTGTATCATTTTTTAAAGATTTTATTTGTTTTTATTTTATGTGTATGAGTGCCTGTGCACCACATGCATATAGAACCCATGGAGGCCACAAGAGGTGGTTGGAACTGGAGTTATAAGTAGATGTGAACACTCACGTAGGTGCTGGAGCCTGAACTCAAGGCTTTGCCAGAACATCTAGTGCTCTTAACAGCTGAGCCATCTCTCCAGGCCCATTGTCAGTATTTTTAATTATGTGTCTGTTGACTGGGCTGATGGTGCACACCTACAATCCCAGCACTCAGGAGGCAGAGGTGGGTCTCTGTGAGTTCAAAGCCAGCCTGGTTGCCATAGCAAGTTCCAGGACAGCCAGGACTACATAGAGAGATCCTGTCTCAAATAACAAAACAAAAAATTATATGTATGTCTGAGAATGAATGTGTCCACATGAGTGCAGTGCCCGTGGAGCCCAAATGCATTAGTTCCATGCACTGGAGGTAGCTGTGGGCCTCCTGACACGGGAGCTGAGCGCTCAACTGAAGGTTCTGGAAGAACAAGCAGCAAGCGCTTGTTCAATGCTTGTTGTTCAACCATTGAGCAATCTCTCCAGTCCTCCACTTGGATTTTTGAGACAGAGTCTTTCAATGAACCTGGAGCTCTCCAGTTCGGCTAGCTTGATAGGGTAGACAGGCTCTCCAGGATCTCCCTGGCTGCGTCTTCCCAATGGCTGCATCTGACTTTTTATGTTGGTGTTGGAAATGAAATTCGGGTCCTGATGCTTGGACAGCAAGCGTTGTACTGATTGAGATTACTTTTCTTGTTGTTGTTGTTCGTTTGTTTTTTGTTTTTCTGAGACAGAGTTTCTCTGTGTAGCTTTCTGTGTGTGTAGTAGGGGGAAGATTTATGAAATTTTATCCTGTGGAAATGTGATATATCAATAGGCCAGTTTACTCTTGGCACATATTTTTCTGGATAATTTTTCCTTTTTCTTCAGATGGCTCATTTGTCCAGTGGTCTTCAGATTCCTTAGCTGGCCACCTTTATTCTCCTCTCCTGCAGACTGAAATGGCAATCCTGCCTCCATGAATCCTCGGAATGAGACTCCTCTGTGTAGCTTTGGAGCCTGTCCTGGAATGTACTCTATAGACGAGGCTGTCCTCAAACTCACAGAGCTCCTCCTGCCTCGGCCTCCCGAGTGCTGGGATTAAAAGCGTGTGCCACCACCACCCAGCCCCAGATTACTCTTAAATCTGCCATTCAAAGTCATCTGCTTAACTTTCTCTTCCCTGGGTTTTCACCCTCTGTCTTTCTATTTCTCCACGTTCTTGTATATGCGTAGGTCTGTGCATGTGTGGAGGTAGATGGATATTTTGTCTGCATGTATGTCTGTGTACATATACATACCTGGTGTCTGCGGAGACCAGAAGAAAGTATGTGATCCTCTGAGTTACAGAGAGCTTGAACTTGTCCTGTGGCTGCTAGGAATCCAAACTGAGTCCTCTGGAAGAGCAACTTAGCGCTCTTAACCACTGAGCCATTACAAGAACACCTACTCTCAGGTTCTTTTTTTTTTTTTTCAGGCAGGGTTTCTCTGTATAACCCTAGCTGTCCTATAATTTGCTCTGTAGAGTAGACCAGGCTGGCCTTGAACTCAGAGTTCCACCCACTCTGCCTCCCAAGTGTCGGAATTAAAGATGTACAACACCACCGCACGGTTCTCAGGTTCTTACCAACTAAATTTATTTGCTCTTTTGAATGTGATCCACTTCCCTTGCTTCTGAGACTCTTTTCAGGCCTCCTTTCCAACTGGAAGGTCTTTTCCTTGCTTCATCTCCAGCTTTTACCCAGCGCCTAACTTCTAGCTAGAACGTTACTTGCTGCACGGTACGGTTACTAAGCCAGGGCAAGCAGATACCTGTGTGATTTCTACCATGTGCCATGGTTGTGTATGGCCTTTGTCTTTGGTGGACAGCAATCTCCTTCGAAACAGAATCAGAATCTCACTTGTAGATTTTCCTATCTACTAGGAACTAGTACATTTTAATTTTTCCCATCTCCTTTGACCCTAACCTAATTAAAGCACCATAACAATTTGTTAGACCTATTAATTTTACAAACTGAGAGGCTGGGGTATTTCAGAAGTAGAGTGCTTGCCTGTGCGAGGCCCTAGAACCTAGGACTGTAGCAGAAACGATAGCAAAACAAAAACAATGAACTGAAATGGAGAGAGTGGATTGCCGGGAGTATGATTCAGCCATAGAGTGCTTCCCCAGCTTGTAAACCATCCTGGGTCAGTCTCCAGCCCTGCGAAATGAAGAGAGACATCAAGTTGGCAGAATGGAATACTCCAGCAGAATGACGCGAGCAGGAGAAACCTTCACGCTCTAACACGACTCTACGGGCATCTCAGCCAGCATGGGCAGACTCGAAGGCACAGGGCAGTGAGTCATTTGCACGGTAGCTGTTGCAGAGGAAAAGGATGGGACATAGAGTACAGGGCGGGGAGAGGAAGGGCTGGAATAGCAATGAATTTCATTCTTTGACTGTTGCTCAACATCCTGGTATTTGGGGAATTTGCCTCTCTTGCCTGGTACAAATTACCCACTGGCCTAGGTTGCCTGTCCCGGGTGGAGGGTGGACCGGTTGGTTTTCCTCTGTTCCCTTCAGACCTATTGCTTTCTCACCCTGGGACACTTGTTAGGGGGTACAAGTTGGTAAACAATCTCTGGGCTTTTACCCTCAGGCTTCTGGTGACAAGGCTCAGCAGGAGGATGGCCGAGGAAAAGGTGTCTTCACAGGGGACCTGGTATGAAAGGAGTGTTGCCAGCAGGTGCAGGCAGAAGACAGGGAGTTTGAAGATCTTTCCGGGAGACAGGAGTAGATTTCATTACAAGGACTCAAAAGCCTGCAGACCACAGTTACAAAACTGCATGGACAGAAAGGATTCCTAACTTTCCAATAGGTTCTCTTTCTGTGTTTTGTCTCTGGACTCTCCTTGCCTCTTGAAGCTCAGTTTACCCTTGCAGGGTTCCACCTTAGCTCACGCAGCCTGATGCTGCCAAAGCCTGAAGCTCCAACAATAGCCATCTGGGAAATGACAGAGTCCTAGGCCCCATGGGACTTTTGGAGCTCATAAAGTTATCTATGGAAAACTAAGCCAAGGTATTTTCTCAAATGCAAACTTTCCCATCTCGTGGTTCACAAATCCTCAGAGACCACACAGATTGAGGGTGATATGTCTCCCAGAACGGTGTGAGAAACACCAATGGTCTCATAAGTATGGCTGTGTCCTAGGAACTGGTATGAGGGTCCAGAACCTTTACCGGGGTTTGAAAGAGTCTATGACCCCCTGAAAAGTTAAACAAAACAAAATAACACATTTTTCTAGAGACTGCAAAGGGCACTGGGTGGACTTTCCAACTCCTCCCTTTTCCTACGTGTTGTAGATAAACACAGGCAATGGAAGCGATGACGGCTGATGTGACCGGTCACGGTTCTAAAAGACTTTTCCATGGTTAGAGCCCTGATCTTTCAAACTGCCTGAGAGAAGCATCCTTCCCTGCCTAGGCAACACTGGTCTTCCAACTTTACCCTTCATCTTTCCACTGTGTCCCTAGGCCACAGGGCGCCTAGGCCAGTGGCTGCTTTTTGTCAAGAGGACTGGGACTGACGGGAGCCGGGCTCATCTAGCAGGCTGGCATCGGGGACCCTGGTCCAAGAAAGGTGGAATGTGCCCTTCATGTGATACAGAAGGTGCAAACCCTGGAGTGTCTCTTTAAATTTCAGACTCAATCTTGCATTCCTGAAAGTAATTATAATTGCATTCTAAGAGTCCACACATGAAAAATGCATGCCGGTAAAGAGCTACTATGCAGGCGTCTAAAATGTAGTGTATAACAGCCTCCCTGAGCATTTGAGAAAGAACACAGCATCTGTTGTGTGAAAAGCATTATTTATTTGTCTGTAGGCAATTTTGATGTATGTCTAAATTCAGAGACCCCCGCTCCGTCTCTAATGGAG